AAGGAAAGACAAAAGTGTTGACCAGGCACAAACACCAGTGCATTTTCATTAAAAATTTCCATTGAGGTCAATGTATGACCTTGACCTTTTGTGCTACAAGCCTAGATTGTGTGCATGGCAAAATGTCTCTATGTGCAACAAAAAAAATTAAAGTCATTTTAAAATCCACATATAAATAACAAAGTCATGGACTGGACACACAGTGGGACGGAATGACGGAACCTGAAAAAACTGTATGCCTTTCCATTTTTTTAAAGGGGGGTTCGGGAGGAGTGCATTAAAATTCAATGGTACAGAGGCAAGGTCAAAAGCCTTATTGGTTGGGTTTTTCGTCGCAACAAAACAGTATAAGACATATGGCGACTTTCAGCTTTATTGGTGGAGAAAGACCTCAGGTGCCCTTCCGTTCATTATTTCTGGTACGAACGGACATGAAAGTAGAACCACCGACGTTCCGCAAGCTCGACGGATAGCGTCCTCACATGTCACATGGGATTCGAGCCCAAAGTAGTGAGGGGCAAGTGGTTTAAAGTCAACGACCTTCGCCACTCGGCCATGGACGCCCCTCATCTCTGAAAGATGGACATGTATTTATGTATAAACAATACCATTTCCCATATATAACGCTACCATCTAGACAAATTTATTATCGTTACCAAATGGCTCTCAAATTAGTTTCATATTTATGAAATTATACAAAAGACATCTGGTTTTGTTACTGTTGTTGTTTACCGTTGTGTGTACGCACTAAGCGTTTGTAAATATTTTTGTTTTTGCTAGTAAATACATTATTTCGTTTGCTACAAAGTTATTAACCTTCCCATTTTGCTAACATTATCTGGTAGCTGAACGTATTGTTTTAAGACTGGGGTATCCCTGCTATTTAACCTATTGTAACCTTTCATTATCTTGTACTACCTACATTACGCAGTTGGTTCCAATGTCGTTACCATTTTTTTCGTTTGGTTGTGAGTCGTTCATTTACCATTTTTAATTTTTGTTAAATATCTAAAACATTATTGATCAGCACTGTTTTTAACTATGTCTTCTTATTTCTGTACTTTTTCTCTTTCCATTTTTTTCCTTTACGTAAACTCTAACATATTGCATCAATACAAATTAATTTCTGACAGGTTATTGTCGTACATTTTCACTGGCCTTATCACTGCCATCATCTGTGATGCAGTCCTCGGCAAGAATCTATAATGAACTCTTCCGTAATAATTAAATAACTAGAAATGTGTCCATAGGACACGGATGCCCCCACACGCCACTGTTCTGTCAATCTTATAACTCTAGGTCAAATATTTTTTGGACTAAATGTGCCACAAGTTGAAAACTAAAAATCAACAAAGGGCCAAAATTCTGTTATATTTGGTTGCAGCAAAAATTCCTTCCTTTACTACCATCTACCAATTAAGGTTGTTCATCCCTGGAAATTTAAGCAAATTCTGCCATCCGGTTTAAGAGGAGTTGCGTTCACAAAATTTCTACATAGTATATAGTGAAAAAATCAACAAAGGGCCAAAATTCTGTTAAATTTGGTCGCAGCAAAAATTCCTTCCTTTACTACCATCTACACATTAAGGTTGTTCATCCCTGGAAGTTTAAGCAAAATCTGCCATCCGGTTTAAGAGGAGTTGCGTTCACAAAATTTCTACATAGTATATAGTGAAAAAATCAACAAAGGGCCATAATTCTGTTAAATTTGGTCGCAGCAAAAATTCCTCCCTTTACTACCATCTACACATTAAGGTTGTTCATCCCTGGAAGTGTAAGAAAAAACTGCCATCCGGTTTAAGCGGAGTTGCGTTCACAAAATGTCTACATAGTATATAGTCAAAAAATCAACAAAGGGCCATAATTCTGTTAAATTTGGTCGCAGCAAAAATTCCTCCCTTTACTACCATCTACACATTCAGGTTGTTCATCCCTGGAAGTTTAAGCAAAATCTGCCATCCGGTTTAAGAGGAGTTGCGTTCACAAGATTTCGGGACGTACGGACAGACGTACGGACGGACACTCGGACGGACAAGTGCAACGCTATATGCTCCCACTCTGTGGGGACATAAAAAGCTACGTCTCTAGATTGATACATAAACCCATGGCAGTCAACCTCAACAGCATCTAGTGTGAAACAATTTATAGAATGAAAAGTTTTTTCTGATCTGATCAATCTTAATCTAATTAACGCTCTGAATTGCAGAAAAAAATGCCAACTAAATATTAAATATTATCTTTGAAATAAAAAGAGGTCAACATTATAAAAATTATAAAAAAAAACATTTTAATTGCGCTCTCGAAGGACAATGGAACTTCCTGGATAGCAGGAAGGGGGCGGCGTACAGCGTAAAACTCATAAACTTTGTTTTTGAAACAACGCGTCGGTCAAAATAATCTAATATAAACTTGTTCGAGCCCAAAAGACAACGCAAAGGAGACAAGACTGTGGTTACCTTACCTTGTGTATTCTTTTTCCTTCTGAGTACGGCTTTTTAGTACGTCTACCGACATCCAGCGGCATTCATGTTCTTTTAACACTAGATCTTTTTTTTTTTATTCGATTGCTCAGAATCTGATGCGAAACAGCTCAAACATTTAAAACAATATGCTGGCTTTTAAGCCGCGATACTATATAACAGATGACAGATTGAAGCTACACACTTTACCGACGATGTATTTTGCCTCGTTTTCTAACCTAGTGAAAAGACGATTTAATACTTTTGAAACAATGTGATGAGAAATGGATTTTTCCTTGGTGTAAAGCAGATTGTCACGCTTTGCTGGTATAGCTAGAAATATCCCAACCAACCTCCGGATAATGTTTGCAAAATGGAACAGGTAAATAGTTTTGGATTATAGACTAAAGTCACAGCATTAAGAACGAGTTTTAAAACATGCTTACACACACGTTTGTGTGACATTGTTTTGGTTTTGATAGACCTGTTTAAACAAAAGAAAATCAGTTATGAATTTGATCTTTTGCACACATCAATATACTACTGTTTGCATACCGTACAAGCTGTTGGTGGCGATCCAGGTGGACAGACTTTCAGACTACACTTCAAAAATACACTTCCAGAGTTGTGAAACTTGAAGGCTAGCAATCTGGCAGTGGCAGTTCCATTACTATAACTATTAAAGTTACTTATGAGATCCATGGTGGCAGAACATCTGCAAAATGAATTTTGTAACAAAATAAGACAATACAAGATTCTTCTTTTCAGAATCTACCAGTTGTATTTCATTTCAAGCAAGCATAAATTCCGTATAGATTTTGCTTATCGAGAATGAAAACTCTAGACTTTAAACTAGCGGACACACGGTTCTTAGAAATATGCATTTCGTACGTTCCCTTAACTTTCTTCTTGAAGGAATCCACACATCGGCAGATTTGGTTTCCACAAACAATCACACAAACGAAAACAAGACCTTGTTTGGCAAGCACGAATGCCTCCGGCCCAAATTCTTATTGGTTACAAATTTTTCAAAAAGGCTAACCCTTTCACTCACTTTTAGGAGGAAAGGTTGCTCAAAATATGTCAACAAACTTATATAACTTAACAGTCACGACATTTTGATATTTCTCAATGATTTATTTGGCGCCTTTTGTCGGTCGATAGTAAAGATATCTCGTGGTGTAATTTATTTTGTTAATTTTCTTTTAATGTTTAAGAATTAATACAATTACGCGAATTTTCGTACATGTAATACTTAAATGTAGATATAATATAAGGCCTACCCGCCATTTGAGATCAAAGCAACAGAATCATTTTGATGAATCATCTATTCCCGGATACGCTGTGCAGCTGGTAACTTCCAAACTGTAGTGTTCTACAAATGAATAGTATCTTAGTATTATCTATAAATGTGTCTACAGGATACGGAATACCCCACCTTATGCTTTGAACGGAGAGCTTGACTGCATGGCAGCGTGAAAGCAAATTAAGTCAATAAGAACCGAAAAATAACAGTACATTAAAATTTTTGCTAATTTTGCATATGAACGGTAAATGTCTGGGTGCTACATATAATTGGTAAAACTCGTCCGGATTGTAGGCTAATAAACTTTTTGTGACGAGTTCAAGTTTGACAAATTGTCTTCTTTTTAATTATACATCAGATGAAAATGATAAGTCATACCTAAGTACGTTTGTTATTTATGTATTGTCAAACTATCGAATTAAATATACATGTACCTATATTCAGTAGAATACACCTGAAATAAGGAATAATTAAACCGTGTAGCACATAGTATAAGTTGTATTGGAACGACTGACTAGTCCAGTATAATAGACGTTACGGGATTGATATATTATGATTGTCAATCCCAACGTCTAACAGATATTGCTTATAAACGCATAGCCACAAAAACACAAAAACATTGCAACAGAGTCACCAACAAAGGGGAGTTTTACATGAAGCACAAAATTGTGCTATTTCAAAAGATGGCATGGATCTGGACTTCCAGTGCAAACTTTTGATCAACGCTAGATCTGCACATGCAAGTAAAAATAACTTTATAAAAAAATATAATGAGATAACTCCAGTGTATGTGTGAACAGATATACATTTATATAGTTGATATCTATATTTTAAGCCACAAAATGTGACAAATACAAAATCAATAAAGAGTATGGCCTGTCAGGCCGTAATCAAGGTATGTTGACGATTCACCAATGACATATGGTGTTGCGCATGACACATCGTCCCATTATTGTGAACATTTCTGCCAAGTATTATCAAATTTCTTTAAACGATGGACTGGACACAAAATATACTTTATACTAGAAATGTGTCATCATGCCACGGATGCCCCCGCATGCAGCCAAAATTTCAGATGTTATAATATTTAGTTCCAAATTTGTTTGCACAATTTTTTTTTCATTTTAAGTTCAAAGCCCTTAAAACTTTTCAATGTTAACACAAACCATTTCATACAATGTTCAAGGCACTGAAATTATTCAGTCTTAACCTTTAGAAAAAAGCATATTTCATATTTGTAGCCAAAATAATGGCTACATACATTTCCACAAAAGTATGAGTGCTGAAACTGAAAGTTCAAACTTTTTCCAACATTCAAGAAAGATAAGTTTGTCCAAAATCATTGAACCACGACCAAATTCAAACTTCAACTGCTTATTCCTAAGATGTATCTATATTATTTTCAAAGTGAAAGGGACATAACTGCCAAAAATCATCGAACCATGACCAAATTCCAACTTGACCTGCGCCTTCCTTTGACATATCCATATGTCAAATTTGAGTTTAATACGTAACACTGTTGGGTAGATAATGAACAGAAACTGTAAATTTCATATTATTTTCAAAGTGAAAGGGGCATAACTCTGCCAAAAGTCATTGAACCATGACCAAATTCAAACTTGGCTTGGGCATTCCAATAACATATCCATATGTCAAATTTGAGTTGAATGTGTTGTACCGTTGGGGAGATAATAAACAGAAACTGAAAATTTCATATTATTTTCAAAGTGAAAGGAGCATAACTTGCCAAAAATCATCGAACCATGACCAAATTCGAATTTGACCTGTATTTTCTCATGATATATCCATATGTCAAATTTGAGTTGAATGTGTTGTACCGTTGGGGAGATAATGAACGGAAACGGAAAATTTCATATTATGTTCAAAGTAAAAGGGGCATAACTCTGCCAAAAATCATCGAACCATAACCAAATTCGAACTTGACCTGTATTTTCTCATGATATATCCATATGTCAAATTTGAGTTGAATGTGTTGTACCGTTGGGGAGATAATGAACGGAAACTGAAAATTTCATATTATTTTCAAAGTGAAAGGGGCATAACTCTGCCAAAAATCATCGAACCGTGACCAAATTCGAACTTGACCTGTATTTTCTCATGACATATCCATATGTCTAAATTGAGTTGAATGTGTTGTACCGTTGGGGAGATAATGAACGGAAACTGAAAATATCATATTATCTTAAAGTAAAAGGGGCATAACTCTGCCAAAAATCATCGAATTATGACCAAATTCGAACTTGACCTGTATTTTTTCATGACATATCCATATGTCAAGTTTGAGTTGAATGTGTTGTACCGTTGGGGAGATAATGAACGGAAACTGAAAATTTCATATTACTTTAAAGTAAAAGGGGCATTACTCTGCCAAAAATCATCGAATTATGACCAAATTCGAACTTGACCTGTATTTTTTCATGACATATCCATATGTCAAGTTTGAGTTGAATGTGTTGTACCATTGGGGAGATAATGAACGGAAACTGAAAATTTCATATTATTATAAAGTAAAGGGGGCATAACTCTGCCAAAAATCATCGAATTATGACCAAATTCGAACTTGACCTGTATTTTTTCATGACATATCCATATGTCAAATTTGAGTTGAATGTGTGCAACCGTTACTAAGATAACTAGAAATGTGTAATCATGCCACGGATGCCCCCGCATGCAGCCAAAATTTCAGATGGTACATTAATTATTTTTTTCATTTTAAGTTCAAAGCCCTTAAAACTTTTCAATGTTAACACAAACCATTTTCATACAATGTTCAAGGCACTGAAATTATTCAGTCTAAACCTTTTAAAAATAGCATATTGCATATTTGTAGCCAAAATAATGGCTAAAAGTAAGAGTGCTGAAAGTTCAAAATTTTTCCAACATTCAGGAAAGATAAGTTTGTCTTAAATCATTGAACTACAACCAAATTAAAACTTAAACTGCTTATTCCTAAGATGTATCTATATTATTTTCAAAGTGAAAGGGACATAACTCTGCCAAAAAATCATCAAACCATGACCAAATTCCAACTTGACCTGCCCATTCGTTTGACATATCCATATGTCAAATTTAAGTTGAATATGTAACACTGTTGGTAGATAATGAACAGAAACTGTAAATTTCATATTATTTTCAAAGTGAAAGGGGCATTACTCTGCCAAAAATCATTGAACCATGACCAAATTCGAACTTGGCCTGGGCATTCCAAAAACATATCCATATGTCAAATTTGAGTTTTGAATGTGTTGCACCATTGGGGAGATAATAAACGGAAAATGAAATTTCATATTACTTTCAAAGTGAAAGGGGCATAACTCTGACAATAATCATTGAACCATGACCAAATTTGAAACTTGACCTGCACATTCCTTTGACGCATCCATATGTCAAGTTTGAGTTGAATGTGTTGTACCTTTGGGGAGATAATGAACGAAAACTGAAAATTTCATATTATTTTCAAAGTAAAAGGGGCATAACTCTGCCAAAAATCATCGAACCACGACCAAATTCGAACTTGACCTGTATTTTCTCATGACATATCCATATGTCAAGTTTAAGTTGAATGTGTTGTACTGTTGGGGAGATAATGAACGGAAACTGAAAATTTCATATTATTTTCAAAGTAAAAGGGGCATAACTCTGCCAAAAATCATCGAACCATGACCAAATTCGAACTTGACCTGTATTTTCTCATGACATATCCATATGTCAAGTTTGAGTTAAATGTGTTGTACCGTTGGGGAGATAATGAACGGAAACTGAAATTTCATATTATTTTCAAAGTAAAAGGGGCATAACTCTGCCAAAAATCATCGAACCATAACCAAATTCGAACTTGACCTGTATTTTCTCATGACATATCCATATGTCAAATTTGAGTTGAATGTGTGAAACCGTTCTTTAGATAATGAACGAAAACTGATGATGACGGAATGACAGAATGACGGAAGGACGGAAGGATGGAAGGACGGAAGGACGGAATGACGGAACAGGGTAACACTATATGCCCCGGCCATTACATGGCGGGGGCATAATGAACGGAAACTGATGATGACGGAATGACAGAATGACGGAAGGACGGAATGACGGAAGGACGGAACAGGGTAACACTATATGCCCCGGCCATTACATGGCGGGGGCATAAAAAGAACATGTTAAGCTTTGACCTTTAAGTGTGACCTGGACTTTGGAGGTAGGGGTCCGACTGCGCATGACACATCGTCTTGTTAGTGTCAACATTTGTGCAAAGTAATTTTAAAATACCTTGATCTATGAAAAAACTATGGACTGGACATAAAATATATCATATAACAGACCATGTTCAGCTTTGACCTTAACGTGTGACCTCGATCTGAGACAAACGTCTCATTATTGTGAACATTTGTACCAAATATTTTCAAAATCCCTTGATAGGACGGAACATCACAAATACTCTAAAACAAACAAAGTTAATATTTTCAACAAGTGTGACCTTTACATTGAATGAAGGCTGACTGGCTGTTGCGCATGACACGTCGTCTTGTTATTGTGAATATTCGAGCCAACAAAAGCCCTGGATTGATGAGAAAGTTACCCTTTAACAGACCATTTAAGCTTTGTCCTCCAAATGTGACCTTGAACCTGGAGGTAGAGGTCAGGGTGTTGCGCATGACACATCGTCTTATGATTGTGAACATTTGTGCAAAGAAATTTCAAAATCCCTTTCTCTGTAAAAAAGTTGTGTTACCTTGACATTGGAGGTAGGGGTCCTGGTGTTGCACATGACGCATCATCTTATATTATAACATTTGTGCCAATTTTATACCCCTTTTTTCTTCGAAAGGGCGAGGAAAAATTAAAATATCTATTGCTTTGCGTTTCAAGCGTTAATCAAAATTTTGTCAAACTTTCTATCCATGTCATGCTCAATCATTTATAAAAATATCAAACAATGTTATTATCAAAATAAAAACTAAAATACAAACAACTATCCTACATAACTTTTGCTAAGCTTAACTTTTTCTATTTAGCAATGTTTTGAGATAGTCCCCCGACATGAATCGTGTTGAATTATCCGTTACAACTCGTCTAGGTAGCATGGAAAGCATGCACCCATACGTTTTAACCCTTTTGATGGTGTGTACAATCACATGTCTTTACTAAATGTCGACATTACCGGCTTATTGTCATACAGTGCATTCCTTACATTTAATACATCTTTCGCTTCAATGTGGCAAATTAGGCCGTATTTGAGAGAAGCAGAGTTATATAGCACTGAAGGGATGGTGCAGCAGGGGCGGGGCACCTTCCGCCAGGATGATACGGCGCTTGGTGAACACCAGACTGTCATCGCCAGAGCCTGGAAGAGATACCGGCTACATGGTTAATCCGTCAGGATCACAACACCAGCTCAAGATCGGGGTTTGATCGTTCCGGCACGTCGTGCAAGGTTTTCGACAGCAACCTTTGTTCGAAATGACATTGCTAATTCTGCGGGGGTCTGTGTTTCCAAGCAGACGGTACGTAGAAGGCTGCATGAAGGTAATTTGCGGTCGAGAAGACTGTGCATACGTACATGTATCCCCTTGAAACGTCGACATCGCCAGGCCCGTTTGGAATGGACCATGGAACATACACAGTGGACTATGCAACACTGGAGGCAGGTTCTGTTCACTGAAGAGTCCAAGTTCTGCCTAGACTTCACAGATATGCGTGCTAGAGTCTGGAGAAGTCGAGGTAAATGGTTTCAAGCTGCAAATATTGCTGAGCATGACCACTACGGAGGTGTGTAAGTTATGATGTGCTTGGATGGACGAATCGACCTGGTTGTGCTAAATAGAGGTACATTGACAGTTCAGCGATTCATAGACGACATCTTAGACAACCAGGTTAGGTTGTATGCTGGAGCAGTCGGCGGTAAGTACATTCTAATGCAGGATATTGCTCGCCCATATATGGCAAGGGTGGTCCAGGACTACATAGAGAGGAGAGGGTGTCTGTTGAGCGCATGGACTGGCCAGCTCGCTCACCTGACTTAAATCCAATAGAACACATGTGGAATGAGCTGCAGGCTAGAATTTGAGCTTGTCAACTGCTAACCAGAACCATCCAGGAGCTTGGAGCCATGTAGGCCCAAGAATGGGCAGCCATACCCGATAGAACGATCAAAAACCTAATAGGGAGTATGAGAAGGCGTTGCCAAGCTGTCATTGATAGCCGCGGGTCATTTAAACGGTATAAACTGCAAACAAAACAAAACAAAAACAACAAAAACAACAAAAAACTAGAACTGTGTCCAAAGGACACGGATGCCCCAACTGACAACATATATATGGTATATAGTGAAAAAATCAACAAAGGGCCATAATTCTGTTAAATTTGGTTGCAGCAAAAATTCCTTCTTTTACTACCATCTACACATTAAGGTTATTCATCCCTGGAAGTTTAAGCAAAATCTACCATCCGGTTTAAGAGGAGTTGCGTTCACAAAATTTCTATATGGTATATAGTGAAAAAATCAACAAAGGGCCATAATTCTGTTAAATTTGGTCGCAGCAAAAATTCCTTCCTTTACTACCATCTACATATTAAGGTTCTTCATCCCTGAAAGTTTAAGCAAAATCTGCCATCTGGTTTAAGAGGAGTTGCGTTCAAAAATTGTCTACATAGTATATAGTGAAAAAATCAACAAAGGGCCATAATTCTGTTAAATTTGGTCGCAGCAAAAATTCCTTCTTTAACTACCATCTTCACATTAAGGTTGTTCATCCCTGGAAGTTTAAGCAAAATCTGCCATCCGGTTTAAGAGGAGTTGCGTTCACAAGATTTCGGGACGTACGGACAGACGGACGGATGGACGGACTGACAGACGTACGGCGTGACGGACACTCGGACGGACAAGTGCAACGCTATATGCTCCCACTCTGTGGGGGCATAAAAAACAATTTTACAAAATTGGAAAACACGCTGCATGTTATGAAATCTTCAAAGAGGGGGTCTCACTCATCTCTAGCACGAAATCAGTGTAGGACTCATTTACAGGGTTGAATGCGTCGTACATCTGAATTGCTAAAACAGTTAATCAACACGGCGTTAATAAAATTATCAAAAAAAAAATATTCCCACTAAAACATATAGTGCTTAGCAAAAGTTGAGTTTTATAATATAAATACATATATAAATGTTACCTGGAAAGAATATTGTCCAAACTATTTCATGACCCACAGTGGTTGAAGTCGAACTGAGTAATGAAGTCAAGCTGTATAAAGGATTAACATTGATCTGCTCGTCTACAGTAAGCCTGGTTTAAAAAATTGATAGAACAAGACTAGAGCGTTAATGCACCTTTTTCTATGGTGGCTGCTTTGGAACGCTTGTATGTGTCGTGATGGCGCTAGCAACAACAGGACAATGCGCCAAATGGCATCGCTCGGTTCAAATCAAAGGATTGGCTTATAACTACTTATTGACTACGCGCCGTTTGGCGTGCTTCGCTAGAGACAGGACGACGAGGCAACAACGCACCGTTTGGCGCTTTGTCATGTTGTCGCTAGCTACAAGACGAAAGGCAATAACGATATAGGTTGCGCTATCGACATCGCAATGCACAATGTACCAAATCAGCCATCATATATTTCTTCTGGATCTCGTGACGTAATAATGTTAGGTAAGCGAAGTGTCTGTTATCCATTTTTTCGAATTATTTTCAGACCTACTATTTATCATTTTTGATTTTAAATGCAGTCTTATCTGAACATTATAACTTCAAATCAGTCCATTAACTTAAATGTCAGATTTTCAATAATGCTTTATTTCTTCTAGATGAAAATAGAAGTGTTGTGTTTATTTCAGTCATGTCAGCATTTGACATGAAAAACATCAAATTAAAGTTAAAGGCTGCATGAACAAAAAATGTTTAAATCATTTTTTTACACCAGTGACCTTGACATTGATCTAGGTGACCCCTTACTTCACAAAAAGTTATAAGACCATGAAGGTATCTACCTACTTAATATGGAAAATAAATGAAGTAATTAAGTGAAATTTAACATAAATCTAACTTGTCGGAATAGGTTAATCATTCAAAGGGATAAGAAAGGAAATATGGATGGCAGTTATGTAACTTGGCAACAACGTGTCTTTGTCTTGGTTATAAAGTAATTAGTATAGATCATGTAGATAGAACTCAAAATATATCCAACCTGCCGTTTTATGTTAACCATATCCAGAATCTTAGTACTGAAAAGGGCAGTAACTTGATTTTGTTTGTAGCAATAGTATGTAACTTGCCTCGATCATGTGCTTTTTATTTATTAGTAGCCTAAGTGTGTAAATCATATAGCCATTGGTACAGGTGGAATTTAAGAAAAAGCCAACTTGTTAACCTTGTATGGACTGATTGACAGCCTGACAAACGGAAGGACGGTTCAATCACCATATGCCCGAGGTATAAAAAAACCTTGTAGCAATAGATAACTTATGTAAGATCCATAGTCAAAATTAAATTCTTACTGTGCGGAATAAGAACTGTTGATTTGTTTAATAACTCCTTCCTGATCAATCTCTAGACATACAAACTTTACTACCACACTTTTTCCACTATGTACTTTGTATGTAGCTAGTCCACTGTATGGTCCGTAAGTGATAATAATTTCCTCGTCCTATTGAAAATATATAAAAGTACATTGGTATTTCGTTAAACTCTGCCATCGATTTTTTTCAGTAAAGCTTGGACCAATATTTTAGGTCCCAGAGTAAAGTAAAGATTACAGTCATGTTTAAACCTGACCTATTTCTAGAAAAAATATGGAAGTTAAGCATTGTCTATATATATTTGATATGTAATTCTTAATTATCAGAGAATCACGCAACATTCCTTATTACTATTGACCTTCGATTCTTCTACAGAACGACAAGACAAGAGGTACCTTAGTTTCCTTCCTCAACCCATATAAATGTTCAGACTGACTTAAATTTTATATTTTATTTACTGAGGTCAAAGGATATCGGACGGATGAAAAAAATAAAATAATGTGAATACACTTCATATGTTCTCTATCCACAAACTAATTATCATCGATCTCGAATTTGTATTTCATGAGTTATATCAGAATCCAGATTTCCTTGGATGGACACACAGACAAACAATACAATTTTATTCAGTTTTCATCCTTTCCGTAAACATAGCAACCGCAATAAAAACATTAAATGACATGCATAATCTTCATTTAGCCCTGTATCTACATAGCTGGTATCATCAACTAGCTTTTGCATTTTATCAGTTATGACTGGATAAAAAATACTCGGATGGACGGACAGACAGACAAAGGATTAACCTATAGCCCCCTCATGTAAAAGAGGTAGGGGACTAGTAAATACAGCTGTAAAATGTCAAATTAATATATTTAAATGACAAATGCTTTATAAGTTACAATCCGGACAAAAAAATAAGTATAAAACAAGAACGTGTATGTTAAACACAAATGCCCACGGCTCAGATACTTGTCAGTAACTACATTTCAAAAATGTATAACCATTCATTCAGTAATGGACAAATAAATTCCAAAAAATGCAAGATATGTGCCAGCTAAATACGAAATGCATCTGTCAATAAATAAAGCTTTTATGGGCAAAGTTTAAAACACTTTTTTAGCACTGGTGACCTTGACCAAACTGACCCTTAACTCAATTAAACGGAAGAGACTACGCATAAACAAGAGCCATGTCAACATGGCCATCCTCCGCCGAATGTGTTTGCTCATTTGACGAATGTATATGTAGTAGAGCAGAATAATTCCATTTTAAGAGATCTTTTGATAATGAAAACTGATGGCTGAAGTGATTACAGATTTGAAACCTATGTGAATACTGATGGCTGAAAATAACAAAGGGCAATCACTGAAAAATAATGCATGGTAGGTAATCATTCTTGTGTGCTGCACCCCTCCTCAGTAAAATTTATCCACCTATGAAGTTTCAAGTTGATACCTCAAATACTTTTGAGATAAGCTCCGGACAAAATAGTATGAAAAAGAACAAACGTCAATAACTCAAAAAATATATAGGGAAGAGTTATCATTCTTGCGCACAGCATTCCATAAGATCTATCCACCTATGACATTTCATGTTGACATCTCAAACACTTTTTGAGTTATGCTCCACTCAGGTGAAAAATTAAGTATGAAAAATAACAAAGGGCAATAACACAAAAATTATTAAAGGTAGAGTTATCATTCTTGTGCACTGCACACCTCCTGAGTGAGATCTATGCACCTATGAAGTTTCATGTTGATATCTCAAAGGCCTTTTGAGTTATGCTCTGGACATAAATTAATTTTGAAAAATAACAAAGTGCAATAACTCAAAAATTATGCAGGGTAGAGTTATCATTCTTAAGCACTGCACTCCTCCTTAATGAGATCCATCCACCTATGAAGTTTCAAGTTGATACCTCAAATACTTTTTGAGATAAGCTCAGGACAAAATAGTATGAAAAAGAACAAACGGCAATAACTCAAAAATTATGTAGCAAAGAGTTATCATTCTTGTGCACAGCATTCCTCCTCAATAAGATCTATCCACCTATGACATTTCATGTTGACATCTCAAACACTTTTTGAGTTATGCTCCACTGAGGTGAAAAATTAAGTATGAAAAATAACAAAGGGCAATAACTCAAAAATAAAGAAAGGTAGAGTTATCATTCTTGTGCATTGCACACCTCCTGAGTGAGATCTGTGCACCTATGAAGTTTCATGTTGATATGTCAAAGGCTTTTTGAGTTATGCTCTGGACAAAAATTAATTTTGAAAAATAACGAAGGGCAATAACTCAAAAATTATGCAGAGTAGAGTTTTCATTCTTGTGCACTGCACTCCTCCTGAATGAGGTCTATCCACCTATGAAATTTCAAGTTGATATCTCAAATACTTTTTGAGATATGCTCCAGACAAAAATGTCGGACGGAAGGACGTACGGACGGACGGAAGGTCGGAAGGATGGACGGACGGAGACTATTTCTATATCCCCCGCCGCCTTTTCGGCGGGTGATAAAAAAAACTTCAGTCAAAAAATAAGGTTGTATAAGAAAGTGTGTAGAACTATATTATTGGCAGCCTTGACCTTGACCCACTGACCCCTAACTCAATCAGAAGGAAGAATATCATGTCAGTTATCGTGGTTCCAAATATGAAATACATCTGTTAATATATAAAGGATGTATGGGCAAAATAATAAAAATCTATTTTTAGCAATGGTGACCTTAAACAAACCGACCCATAAATCCATCAAAAGGAAGAAGACTATACAAGTTATCTTCCTCCCAAACATGAAATATATCTTTCAAAATATAAAGGCTATATGGGCAAAAGTGTAAAACTTAATCTATTTTAGCACTGGTGACATTGAAACACTGATCCCTACCTCGATCTAAAGGAAGAATATCATGTTATATTCCTATCTAAAATGACAAGAGCCCGGCTTGAGCCGGGTAATGCTCCCCGAATAGGTTTTGGACACAGGAAAGTACACCTCTTGTAGTTTCAGAGTTATGTCCGTGGAAAAAGTTCAAAGTGCAATAATTCCAAAATTAGGCAAGGCAGAGTTACTGTTATTTGCACTGCACTTCTAATCACTGTGATCTATCAACCTACAATGTTTCTTGTTGATATCTCTCATGGTTTCCGAGTTATGTTCCGGACAACTTCAAAAAGTAAAACTAAACAAAGGGCAATAACTCCAGAATTAGGCAAGGCAGAGTTATGATTCTTAAGCACTGCACATCTACCCATTGAGATATATCTACCTACAAAGTTTCATGTTGATATCTCTTATAGTTTTACAGCTATGTCCAGTACAAGATTTTTCTAAAAGGGGAGATTATTCAAATACGAGGCTTAACAGAGTTATGATTCTTTTGCACTGCACTTTTACACAATGAGATCTATCTACCTACAATGTTTCATCTTGATATCTCTTGTAGTTTTAGAGTTATGTTCCGGACAAAGTTACAAAGTGTTGAAATTAACAAAGGGCAATAACTCCAAAATTAGGACAAAAAAAGTTATTGTTCTCATGCACTGCACATCTACCCATTGTGATGTATTCACTTACAAAGTTTCATGTTGATATCTCTTATAGTTTTAGAGTTATGCCCCGGACAAGATTTTTCTTTAAGGGGAGATAATTCAAAATCGGGCAAAATAGAGTTATGGTTCTTTGACACTGCACTCCCCCTCAATGCCCTCTACCACTGTATGAAGTTTAAACAAATTATCTCCAAGGGTTTTCAAGTTATGCTCCGGACAAGACAACGGACAGACAGACGGAAGTTCTCACAGGACAGTAATTATGTGGCTACTCTATTGTTCTCTCTATTGTTCTTTTTAGCCACACAAAAGAAAATAGCCACATAAAAGCATTACGGAATGAATGACATCAAAGAGAAAGAACAGTTACCTATTGTCCCTCTAGCCACATAATTACTCTCCTGTGAGTGCGGACAGACGGAAGGACGGACAGATGGACAGACGGACAGACGGACAAGACGCCGACTATATGCTCCCCCGAAATTTTTCGGGGAGCATAAAAAAGATATTATGAATAAAAGCTGTATGAGCAAAAGTGTAAACATCTTTTTTTAGCACTGGTGACTTTGACTCAACTGACTTTTTACTCCATCCAAAGAAGGCCTCAATTTTTATGTTTCAACCAAAATACAAAAGACATATGTTAAAGTGACATTATGCCCATCCAAGGGTATATCGTGAATGAACGGGTGAAGATCAAAAAAGTTTTCATTTTGTCATTAATCCTTTCAATTAAATAATTAAGTTCACATAAACAATAAATAACACACAGATCCAAACGAAATGTCTGTTATCATCCATAAGAATTTACCTATAATGCTTAGTTTATAAAAAGAGTGGGACAGTCTTTTTAAATTTTAAGCAGATATATAATTTTATCCTAATCAGTTTTCAAATATCAGCTGTTGGTCAAACACCATTTTGACAGTCAATCTTTGAATTATAAAGTCAATTCAGCTAAACTTGACTATGAAAATATGAGCATAATGTCACTTTAATAAAATAATGTAAAAGTGTAAAAATCTATTTTCACATTGGCGACCTTGACCTAAATAACCCCTAACTAAACCAAAAGGAAGAGGACCCGCCTTTGCATATTTTTGTATTAAACATAAAATACATTAACTTAAAAATAAAAGTAATACGAGCAAAACTGTTTACATTTATTTTTTTAAACCAGTGACCTTGACATTAACGCTAGAGACCACTTACTCCACAAAAGATAAATGTATCAACGTACTAAATATAAAAGATATCATTAATTAAATCAATTAATTAGGAGCAATTTAAGATCAATACAACTTGCCGGAAAAGGTTCACCACACCTATACAAGACCCTATTTTCAAACTGAAAAAAAGGGAAATTAATTGGAAAAATGGATGGCACAATTATATAACTTGGTAATATCATGAACTCTGACTGATGTGGAAATCGTGAATCCGTACAGATAGAAGTATCACAGAACTTAAGATATATCCAACTTGACGGTTTAGGTTCATATTCATTTTCAAAGTGATTAAAAGGGCAATAACTTTGTAAAAATGAAAGCCATAGCTATGCAACCTGCCCAGATCATGTACTTTGTATTCATTACTAAGTCTGTACATTATGGGTAGAAATTAAGAATCCAACTTGCCGTTTATGTTAACATCGTACGGACAGACTGTCAGACAGTTCAATTACTATATGCTCGGGGCATAAAAAAATAGAAACAGCAAAATAACTCCAAAATAATGCAAACAAGTTATGATTTTAATACACTATCCTCTTCCTAAATGTGATCTTTTAATCTTTAAAGTTTCAAGACAATGCCTGCTTTCCTTTTAATCTCACTTGTCACAAAATGACAAGGTGAGCTTTTGTGGTCGCAATTCGTCTGGCGTCCTTCCGGTCGGCCGTAATTTTTTACTTTGAACGACATCTCCTCATAAATAACTAAGCCAATTTCATCCACACTTAAGAGGAATGTTCCTTAAAATATCGACTTATGGAGATACCAGCTTACAAGCAAAAATTTTTTTCAAGAATTTCTTAGTCTAAAAATAATAATTATTATGCAAAAAGTAAATCAGAGTTATGGGACTTGTGCCAATCATGTTAGATAATCACAGAGAACAAGTCTGTCAAGTTTCAATCCATTCCCTTCAGTAGTTATGGAGATTTAAGCTTACATGCAAAACCTTAACCAAGAATTTGTAAGTCAAAAAAGCAGCATAATTATACAAAAAAGCAAATCAGAGTTATGGGACATGTGCCAATCATGTTGATAATCATAGAGAACAAGTGTGTGAAGTTGTAATCCCATTCCTTCAGTAGTTATGGAGATATTAGCTTACACGCAAGAACTAAACTAAAGAGTTTTAAGCCAAAAAAGGGGGCATAATTATGCAAAAAAGCAAATTAGAGTTATGGGACGTGTGCAAATCAAGTTAGATAATCACAGGGAACAAGTTTGTGAAGTTTCAATCCACTCCCTTCAGTAGTTATTGAGATACTTGCTTACACATAAAAACGTAACCAAAGGGACACCATTGACTTTCTATAGCTACCAGGAACTTCCACATTTTACAATAATACTTGTTCATTAAGTATTTAATTAAGAGTATTTATATTCAGGTGAGCGATATAAGGGCCATGATGACCCTCTTGTTTTAGTTAATGTTTAATCAAATATGAAGTATAAAAAAGAGCAAATGTCAATTACTCCACAATCTGCAAACGAGGGTAATGATTCTTAGGCATGGCAAGTCTTCTAAATGAGAGTAACCACATATGAAATTTAAGTTTCCAAACTGTAAACATTGTTTAACAAAGGAGAGACGGACAGACAAAGACGAACTGCCAATGGACAACGCCAAATCTATCATTCTCCGTCAATAATGACATAGATATAGCTTTGAAAATTGAAATTATCATTTTCAGTACTTTATGACTTACACCCTGGAATAAAATTAATCATGAAACTGAAGATAAAAAAAACTCGAAAAATATGCAGATGAGAGTTATGGTTTTGACTCATTGTCTTTTATTTACATTTATGATCTATACATCGATAAAAGTTAATACCTGTAATAACCATATGAAAAATTGGAACGGGTCAATCGCAAAAAAATGCAAAAGGGAGTTATGAGTCTTAAGGACAGCATTCTTCTCATTATAATGTAACAATGTGTTTGTTTGATTGGATTTTACGTCACACCGACACAGTATAGGTAACAACATGTAATGCTTTAAGCTCATAAATGAAATATTTAAATTTTGTTGTTTCATTCAAGTCCGTCAAGGACAATTTCGTGACGGATGGCGGAAAGATGTGATGATGATGTTTTCACAAGACCTATATTTTAGACTTCTTTCGATATTTTTCATCCCGTAGTGACATTTTGTTAACTAGTCCAAGAAATCCGTGGATAAAATAGGATGAATTGTGCAAATAATGAAACTTAGCACAGTTGTTGGTTAATACAATCTTTTTTATTTAAGCTGCGATCCGGTTAGTGTAAATTCAATATGGCCGCCAAAATCCATGATGTTGAAATAAAAAAAAACTGAGATTAAAAAGCAACCATTTGTTATATCAGGAAAACGTCTGCTTATGAAAGGCTTTATCTGGCTTTTCAACTGCAATCAAATATAAAAGGAAGAAATGAACAAGGGAGAGCGTTGCCCCTTGAACGCAGCCCCGAAATTTGAAGTAGTCAGAAAGCTATCGTCGGGTGGCCTGAAATTACGCTGACCTATTTCGACGCCATTTTTGTTTTGCTCAATATATTGTCATAAGCGACTTGAATGACGTCATTACTATATAAACACTGTAGTAAACACGGATTTCTATCGCTTGCGAAAATTATGTGGAAAATAAGAAATGCAAAGGTAAGAAAACACATTACTATACTTTTTCAATCAATTTTATTATAGTTTTACTAATGCAAAAAAAGCTGTGCTTTATTTTGCCTTTATCTTTGCAAAAATGAGCGTGGGAAAATTTTCACTATCCGTCTGCAACACCTACTCACTCCATTCATTAGGTCACGTGACAGTCATGTGACTAATCACATGACAATGGTGTATTTATCACTGTTTAGCACCATGTACTCGTTATATCATTTTGTTCAGTATAATTGAATAGCGTATGTTAATTGAAATTTAATTGGATAGTTACAGCTGTAGCCTATATAACTTATGCTGAATATCATAGTTAACGTTATTTTTCTTTTCTGCAGGTTCCACAAAGGAAGTATAGGTGCTACTCTCCTACCTCTATGGGCACTGCACTTGAGAAGGTGAGGCTGACTGGGGCTCCCATTAAGACAACTGCAAGGGAGTTTGGCATTCCTGAAGCTTCCCTCAGACACAAACTTTCTGGTAGAGTAGACCCTGAAGCTGTGAGATCTGGCCCATCACCTTTGTTTACTCAAGAACAAGAGGCACATTTTGTGGAACATTTGAAGTTCATGTCTGTCTGTGGTTATGGGTACAGCAGGTCAGAGGTTGTGGACATGGCAACTGAATATGGGGTATGTCTAGGTAAGAGAGACACTGAACATCCACTTTCGCTGAAATGGTTCAGGGGATTCATGTCACGATGGCCTGAACTGAAAGTCTTAAAATCACGGGGATTGGAAATTCAGCGTGCGAAGGCTACAACTGTTGATTGTGTCTCCAAGTATTATGGAGAACTTGGTTCCATCTTGGACAAGTACAGACTGAAGGAAAGACCAGAAAGAGTTTATAACATTGATGAAAAGGGTTTGTCCACTTCTCACACACCACCATCAGTTGTTACTGGAAGTGAATTCAAGCCTCAGGTAGTCACATCTGGTTCAAGATCATTAGTGACTGTGATAGGCTGTGGTAATGCCCTAGGCTATAGTGTACCACCCTTTTTTGTGTTTCCTGGGGCAAGAATGAGGCCTGACCTGTTGGATGGAGGAAGTGCTGGAGTGGATGGTGTCGTCACAGAGAGTGGGTGGAGCAACAGCACTGTGTTTCGGAGGTACATTGAACATCATCTGATAAAATACTTACCTGAACGTTCTGAGGATGATCCTGTACTTTTACTTTATGATGGACATAAGTCTCACATAAATCTTGGTTTGATTGACTGGACTAAGACACAGCACCTCATCTTGTTCATACTTCCTGCCCATACCAGTCATGTATTACAACCTCTTGATGTAGGATGTTTTGGACCATTTGAGAGGGTCTACAACACTGTGTGTCACAAGTTCATGCGTGAGCACTGTGGTCAAAGTAACACACGATACAATGTTTGCGCACTTGGATGTTCAGCCTATTCTAAGGCACTATCGCCCACCAATCTACAAGCTTCTTTCCGCAAGACTGGCATATATCCATACAATCCACATGTTATAGATCCTTCCAACTTTAAACCCTCAGATCCTTCCAACTTTAAACCCTCAGAGGCTCTGCAACAGGAAGCTAACTCAGATGTAGCAAACATTTCAAGTACCCCAGCCAATGAGTCATCACAGTTCTTCTCTACAAAAGCAGCTAACATCACTTCAAAAAAGCCACCCATCAAGAAACGCCGTTACCTTAGCAGTGTTGTCAGTGGTAAACCAATAACCGAGGCATATATGGTGGACAAGATAAGGGAACATGAAAATGCTAAGAAGCCTAAATCTCAGAAAAACAAATCTGACCCACAACCAGGAACTTCAGGTACTGCCAGACCAACAACATGTAAACCCAAAGACACAGATGTTATGGACAGTGATGTTTCACTAGAGGATCTGGACACAGAAGTGTGCTGTGTTTGTAACTTGTTCACACCCCAAGAACTACGACAGAGTACCTCTCTCTTGTTTGTTAAGTGGGTACAGTGTACTAAGTGTGGACACTGGGTGCATTTAATTTATTGCACACCTGTTAGAGTAGTAAGAAGGGGTGATGTGTTTTTGTGCATTCACTGTACTCCAGAAGAGTAAATACACATGTTTGATCATTGAAATTTCATGATATTTAATGTAAATTAAAGATAAAAAACAATTTCATGAGTTATTACTTTGTAGATCCAGATTGCTGATATCAGTGGACATCGTGTGTACAACTTAAAACGTGTACACATTCCAAAAGGGTGTTTATAAGGCTATATGAAGGCAACCAATCAGAGGCGTCGTTACAGGTCACTCTCAAATAACATGGCCGCTTACATACATGTTAGCACAATGCCAGATTAGGAAAAATATACAAAAAGAAGAGCAGAATCGTAATATATATCTTTAAATGAATGTTGAATTTATGCAGTTCTGTTGTAATTTCAATGAACAAATGTTTTTTAAGAAGCCGCTGGATTAATATTCCTTATAGGCGTCGAAACTGGTCACTCGAGGATAGTAGTTTAATCTTACGGAAGAATATAATATCAAAACAATAATGTCGAACGACACATATACCCCCCTTTCTAGCCATTGACTCACATAATTGGTAATTTTATTACAAAAAATTGCCAAAAAAGGGTACATGGAAGTGTTCAATCATGTAAAAATCAACGAAAACCATTTTGACATTTAAGGCCCATGTGACATTGACCTTTGACCTAATGACCCCTAAATCAATAGAGGTCATCTACTACTTATGACCAATAACTAGGTAAAATATGAAGACTTTGTGATGAATACTTTTCAAGATAATCAGCGGAAACCCATTTGACATTTAAGGCCCCTGTGACCTTGACCTTTGACCCAAAAATCAATAGGGGTCATCTACTAGTGATGACCAATCACTATGTGAAATATGAAGACTTTGTGATACATACTTTTCAAGATAATCAGCGGAAACCATTTTGACATTTAAAGCCCCTGTGACCTTGACCTTTGACCTAGTGACCCCAAAATCAATAGGGGTCATCTACTAGTTATGACCAATCACTGTGTGAAATATGAAGACTTTGTGATACATACTTTTCAAGATAATCAGCGGAAACCATTTTGACATTTAAGGTCCCTGTGACCTTGACCTTTGACCTAGTGACCCCAAAATCAATAGGGGTCATCTACTAGTGATGACCAATCACTATGTGAAATATGAAGACTTTGTGATACATACTTTTCAAGATAATCAGCGGAAACCATTTTGACATTTAAAGCCCCTGTGACCTTGACCTTTGACCTAGTGACCCCAAAATCAATAGGGGTCATCTACTAGTTATGACCAATCACTGTGTGAAATATGAAGACTTTGTGATACATACTTTTCAAGATAATCAGCGGAAACCATTTTGACATTTAAGGTCCCTGTGACCTTGACCTTTGACCTAGTGACCCCAAAATCAATAGGGGTCATCTACTAGTTATGACCAATCACTATGTGAAATATGAAGACTTTGTGATAAATACTTTTCAAGATAATCAGCGGAAACCATTTTGACATTTTAAGGTCGCTGTGACCTTGACCTTTAATCTAGTGACCCCAAAATCAATAGGGGTCATCTACTAGTGATGTCCAATCACTATGTGAAATATGAAGACTTTTTGATACATACTTTTCAAGATAATCAGCGGAAACCATTTTGACATTTAAGGTCCCTGTGACCTTGACCTTTGACCTAGTGACCAATCAATAGGGGTCATCTACTAGTGAAATATGAAGACTTTGTGATTAATACTTTTCAAGATAATCAGCGGAAACCATGTGGTCTACCGACGGACAGACCGACAGACCGACAGACAGACCGACAGACCGACATTAGCAAAACAATATACCCCCTCTTCTTCGAAACAACAATTATGACATTATTAGAGCCTGATTCCGTTTTCTATGGCACAAAACACGCTCCTTAATCACAAAGATGCGCTACAAACTAAATTTTTTAAAAATTGAGAGACAGGATTTCGAAGAACTCCTTACCTCCTCCAACACTTACATGTACTAGTATAATTCACACCGAACATTTGGTTCGGATAAGCTAAGAAATTGTGATCACTTAAATATACAATACAATAGAAGATTAATTCAAGCTATTTGTGCAGTAAGATCTACAGAAGCACGAGGACTTATTTAAAGCCTTCATTATGTACGGGCGCAGGATCTAACTTCTGCCGATGTTGATACGCAAAAACATGTATTAGAGTCATTCTTGTATAAAAGTATTCGTCTACGATATGTTGTTTCGGTATAAAGAAACCAGTTTTGTTTCAAATTTAACTTCATTATGTGCTATGTTTTCATTTTAAGGTACCTGGGGCCGACATTGCCATCAGCGGTTTTTCATGGTGTGCTATATGTATGTAGTGTGTTATTCATATGAATTATGTTTATCATAGAAATTTGTCCAAAAAATCACCATTTAATTGCAGTCATCTTGGATTTTGAAGCCATATTAAATTTTCCACCGATGTTACTAGAGCATTTTTATAAGAAATTACTTATATTGACCTACAATGTCAATTCATATCATTGTCATGCCATAAATCTCTCCATTTTATCTGCTTCATGTACATTGTACATTTTGGCGGTCATCTTGGATTTTGGTGGTCATCTTGGATTTTTAAAAAGTGGATCGCAGACTGATTATTAGAAATTGAAATACTATTCCCTGCCACCATGCCAAGTTTCATGCTTTTCACAGACGGTGCACAATTATTTCACTGATTTCTTGGACTTAACCCCAGGGTACAATTTAAAACCTCAGAATTACAGTTTATATACGGAATTAACATTATACTGCCAAGTTGTACACAAATCATAACCTCATTAAGTTTACTGAGTATGTGCGGAAAAAACGGTTCAACGAAAAAATGGTCGGACGCACCTTTCTCACACAAGCTAGAAAGGCATTACAACTTTTCTCATTTTAACATTATCATAGCATGCAAGGCTTAGCTTTATAATACCTTTGAACATCCTGTCAGTGTCACAGTTGTCGCATTTTGATTGGACACCATGCAAGGTGTGTCAATTCCGTTTGCGACGTTCTGCATGGCAAAAATGTAACCGTCGTCAGGTAGATTGAACAAATTTATACTGTCATCGGGATTGCACCTGTATTCTAACTGAGCTAAAAGTAACAGTGTATATATATAAATGTAAGATGAAACAAGTTCCTTCTAATGCTAGATTTAGGAATCTACCTCAGTTAAGAAGTACTAGAAATAAGAACGTTTGTATTAAGCGAAGACGTCGGTAATTCTAACTGAGCTAAAAGTAACGGTGTAATATATAAATGTAATTTGAATCAAGTTTCTTATTATGCTAGATTTAGTAATCTACATCAGGTTAGAAGTACTAGAAATAAGGACATGGGTATTAATCGAAGACGTCGGTAATATACTGCATTTTGATTTTAAAAGATAAACACTGTGTTCGTGAATGAAATGGTCAAAATTAGAAATTTATGTTTATATACATACGAATACACGAATACCCATCGCCCTTAAATCCCCAATCACAGGTACATGTGAAACTGCCAGGCGTATTGTCACATCTAGCATTTGAAGAACATTGATTGATACCATCAGCGCATTCGTCTTTATCTAAAATAACAATCAGTGCATGAATTATAAAATTCGCATTCTTAAAGGCAGTTTTATAGTGAATACTGTTTTGTTCTAATTTACCTGCTTAGATTATTTCCGTTAAAAGTATATTTGTTGTATTAAGGTTATTACAAAGAATAAGAATTAAGAATACAAAGAATTAAGGCAATATATCTCTATTTTTTATTAAATCTATTTAAGCACTAATGACCTTCACCACAATGACCCTTTACTCAATGCCACGTAAGAGAACCACCATAGGTATCTATCTACCTAGTAAATAGGGAAGATACCGGCCAATATATTAAGTATACATAGAATAGATATAACATGACTGTGTTCTTTTTATAAACTAACAAACATCGACATTTGCTGTTGTTATTTGAGTGCACATTCAGTGTACATGTAACAATTTGAGCTTTATGCATCGATGCCCCCAAAAAATGTTTCATTTCCTTCTTTTGTTTACACATTTAAGGTCAATGCGAAATTGACTTTCAGCATCTGCACCAAGAACAACATGGGTCTTCTGATCAGCATTTGAAGTGGGAGACAAGGTTCAAATGGCTCTAAAGTAAATGAACGTAAATGGTTTTCTTAATCAGTGTCACTTTGACCTTTAACTTCACACATTGGCACTATAAAAACTGGGGATTTCTACTCAATAAGGGCGATCTATTTCATTTCACATTGACGACAGCTTGACTTATTTTCATACCCTGAGTTTTATGAACTGTGCATGCAAAGGACAATCGAAGAGGAAACTGTTGGTAAAGGACTTGACATCCCTTTGTGTAACGACCAATATGAGAAGTAGCTTTGTCTCTACATTTGGCACACACCGTGATAATTCCGTCTTATTTCAGGGTACTAAGAACGTGTTTCAAAACTTAATTTCATCATTATAATAGTTGTGTCATTTTTAACTTCCAGAATGCTTATAAGATTCCTATCAACCACTCTATTTCCAGCATCAACATTTTATTGATCATCACTCTTGCTCCCACACAAAGCTTAAGATTTTAAGATAGCAGACATGTCTGGTTTTAATCATTGGCTTTAAATGTAAGAACTTTTATACATTTCATCAATTATCCATACGGTCAGTCAACTGTATTTTGTTTGTATTTCATGCAGCTTTTCTTGTTATAAATTAAGGTGAGTTATCACATTTTTCAGAATATTGCTTGATTAAAAGTTTCAGTACTGAGTGCACGGAAATTCCTTTGATGTTGTTTGCCATGTTGGTGCTAATATAAAAATAGTACAATCAGTCAGCCCCTATGTATTACCTCAGCTATGAAGAGGATTTAAACAGGGACGAACTACTGTTATATAAGCCCTACAAGGAAACTTTTAGGGCCGTTGGTTTAAACCCTGGATGGGTCAACTTTTTTCTTTTTTTCTTTTTCTTTAAGCATAAACTAAAATCCCTCATATCCCTTTTGAGAAGGAAAAAGTGTTTAATTTTAATTATTAAATTGATGATGGGATTGCTTTAATAAGGCTCTCTAAGTAAGAAAATTGTCAAACACCTGTTAAAATGGGTGGGGTAAGGTAACTTTTTAACACAATATACAAATGTATCTAATAAATTTGGAGTAGAAACAATCATTTTGCTTAAGTGGATTTTAAGTTGAATAGTATGTTTTGTTTCTTAATAAAATTAGTGGAATAACATTTTTCATTAGGATGATATTGAAGGTTATTTAGTTTTGGTCAAGTGGTTTAGGAGGAGAAGGAGAAGTTATATAAAGAAGTTGTTGACGCACGGAAGCACATCCGGACGGACAGACAATGGACAATGGGCAACCACAAAAACTCAACTTGAGAACATTATCCTCAGGTGAGCTTAAAAAGGTAAGAAAACATCTGAAACTGCTCTGTATTGACTTTGCTGCTCGTTCTTGGAGAGTGAATTTTTAGTTGCTGTTTGATCGAATATTGACACAGCATAATGTCGAGTTATGTTATCCACACCAAAACCAGAAATGAACTCGGAATCAGGTAATAAGCTGTCATTATCCAGTTTTAATAAATGTGCCCTGAAATCCTGAAATTTCGTTCTTACAAGAAAAGTGTAATTTTATCACAAGTGACCTTAACCTTGAACCCAGTTTCCCAAACAAATAAGTACCGGTATTTACTTTACAAATATGAAAGCCATCATAATGAACAAAAATGTAAACAAATATGTTCGCTTACAAACTCCATCCAAAAACAGAGGACCATCCAAAGTATTTTCTCATCAAAACATGAAAGAGATCCGCAAATGAATAAAGGCTGTATATTAGCAAAAGTGTAATAATTTATTTTAGCACTGGTTAGCTTGACCTTTATCCCAGTGACCTTGTACTACATACAAAAGAAGAGGACTATCCAATGTGTGTCATACCAACTAAGAAAGAGGTACGTCAACAAATAATGACTGTATTCTATCAAATATGAAAGAGATCTTTCGGTCAAAAAATCTGAGCAAAGATGTGAAAAATCTAAAATTATAAAACCATCCAAGGCATCAAATATGAAATATATCGGAAAGCAAATGAAGTTGACAGATGAAAATTTAGGATAAGAGTGACGGAGCAACGGAACTTTGGAAGGACGAAGAGGCGACTACATGAATTTATGCTTCTCGATTTTTAGGCGAAACATAAAAAGGGGTATTTTAGTACTTGACTTTAAAGCTTGAACATATTTAAGGGTATTGTTTAAATCGTTCTCAAGTTACTGAGTGGAAATTGTTCAACAATTCAAGGCTACAGTGATTATGACTTTTCACACATTGGCACAAAAGGGTCTTTTATTAAAAGAGGTTGATTATCTTGTGAAGTGTGAAGGCTCTAAGTGAAATGGTGTTAAGTTATTAAACGGAAACTATAACCACATTCAAAAACACTTTGATCATGACCGTTCACGCATCTCACCCCAAAACAAGAAGTATTTTCCAGAAAAAGAGCGATCATGCTTAAAAGTTTGCAGGCTATGCTGCCAATGATTCTTTTAGGTATTAGCGAAAAACAAAATCTTCTTAAGACCGACAGACATACCAATAGACCAACTGACATTTGCAAAACAATAAACCCAATTTCATTCAAAGAGGGCACATTATTCAAAAAGCTGAATGAGCAAAAGAATAAAATTAAACAAGAAAGTGTTTTTAAACACAAATGCCCCGGCTCAGATTCTTGTGAGTAGCAATATTTCCAAAAATATTCTACCATTCACTCAGTTCATAAAATTGCCAAAAAATTGTTTCCACAGTTTGCTATATAGTGTATATTACTTGAGTCATGGCGTTGTGTAATTGTGAAAAATATAAGTTAGCAAGTCAATGTTATGACTCGTGATGAAATTGAAAAAAATGTTCAACGTTATCAAATATATACATGTAAATGCAAGACTTTACCTTGAACCCAGCAAACCCAAACTTCATCCGAACTTAAAGGACCGCCTTAGGTATGTTCCTTGTAAATGTCTGACATTGGTACAAAAAATAATACAAAGGCTGTAAAAAGTGTAAAAAAAAACCTATTGTCATCAGAAGTGACAGTGACTTTGTGACTCCCAGCACTGGAATTTCCAAAGTATGTTTCCTTCAAATATGAAAAACTTCAGACTATAAATAAGAGCTGTATAAGCCAATGTAAAAAGAATCCATTTTTTGGCCTTCTTGACCTTGACCCGATGGCCCCTTACTCAATCCAAAAACTATGCAAGATATTTCCCTACCAAATATGAAAGACACATAGGCCTGTCCATAAACAAGAGGGCCATGATGGCCCTAGATCGCTCACCTGACCCATCAAACTCATCCAAACAATTACCTAGACAAGCATTCTGACCAAGTCTCATGACAGGTGAGTCAAAAATGTGACCACTACAGTGTTAACAAGGATTATCCATATTTGAGCAGTGTGACCTAGTTTTTTACCCAGGTGACCCATATTCAAACTTGACCTAGAAATCATCAAAACAAACTTTCAGACCAATTTCCAGGATACTTGGATCGAAACAGTAGCAACTAGAGTGTTATCAAGATTTTTCTATTTTTAGCTTCGGTGACCTAGTTTCATATGCGATTTCGAACTCATCCGAGCAATTACCTAGACAAGCATCCTGACCAAGTTTGATGATAATTGAGTCGAAAATGTGACCACTAGAATGTTAACAAGGTTTTTCCATATTTGGGCGGTGTGACCTAGTTTTTCATCCAAGTTGACCCATGTTCGAACTTGACTTAGAAATCATCAAAACAATCTTTCAGACCAATTAACAGGATATTTGGATCAAAACAGTAGCCACTAGAGTGTTAACAAGATTTTTCTATTCTTTAGCTCCGGTGACCTAGTTTTTCATCTGAGATGACCAATGTTCGAACTCATCCAAGCTATCAACTAGACAAACATCCTTACCAAGTTTGATGATGATTGAGACAAAAATGTGACCGCTTGAGTGTTAACAAGGTTTTTTAGCTCCGGTGACCTAGTTTTTCATCTGAGATGACCCATGTTCGAACTCATGCAAGCTATCACCTAGACAAGCATACTGACCAAGTTTGATGATGATTGAGGCAAAAATGTGACCGCTAGTGTGTTAACAAAGATTTTCTATTTTTAGCTCCAGTGACCTACTTTTTCATCCATGATGACCCATGTTCAAACTCATCCGGGCTATCACCTAGACAAGCATCCTGACCAAGTTTGATGATGATTGAGGCAAAAATGTGACCGCTAGAGTGTTAACAAGGTTTTCCTATTTTTAGCTCCAGTGACCTACTTTTTCATCTATTATGTATCAGTCAGTATTTTCTTGTGGATTTATTCAGTATTTCTAAAACAAATGCAACATTTAATTGGAAAAGAAAGAAAACTGTCAAATTGAAACTAGTGTCCATGAAAAAATAACAAGAGCCATGTCAACATGGCCATCCCCCGCCGAATGTGTTTGCTCATTGGAAGAATGTATATGTAGTAGAGCAGAATAATTCCATTTTA